TGGGACAGAATCCCCCCCCCGCCACTATTAACCCTGTGACCTTGGTCAGGTTATTCAATATCTCTGAGCCTCAGTTTCCCCTCTTCAACACCGGGACGCTAATTACACAGCCCTGCAGACACCGCCGGGAGGATTCAAGGAGGGGAGAATGGGACGCTGGCGCACTGAATTCTACGCCCGGTCCCCGGGTCCGCGCGGGCGCCGGCGCGAAGGCCAGGCCCGGGACCCCCGCTGGCCCCCTCTTATTCTGTAGCACTGCCCTCAGGGGGCTGCACACCGCGCCACCTGGTGAGGTTTGGGACTGCTGCCGGGCCCTGCCCCGAGACGCTGGTTTGCCGAGTCTGGCACGCAGCCCGGGCGCCAGGACGTTTCAAAGCCTCCCGCTGACGGTCACGCGGGGCCACTTGGGCACGCGACGTAGAGCCAGGTGGGAGCCGGCAGGACGACCCCACTGCTTCGGGCCTCTAGTCAGCACTGCGCTCGGACGTCGGGGAGTCTCTGCATCGCCTGAGACGAGGCTGCCTGGTAACAGACTCATCACCCAGCGGCGGTCCTGACACACTGGCTTTTCTCGAGCACAGCCTTTAGAGAGGCAGGAAGGGGTTAAGCGCACCCCTGAGGCAGCGCCACCTCGCACTCTGCACCCTGCCACATGTCCGACGTCACTGGACCACATAAGACCCGCAGAAGCCCAGGCCTGGACTTTCTTTCCACCAGCTCAGCCAGCCGGGATTCTGGCCCCCGTTTCTTCTGCACCATCAGCCCTTCCTGGAGCTCCTGAGCAGGTAGAAGTCCCTGGACTCTGAGTTACAGGACTTCTTGTGTGACCTTCGGGTGTTTTAATGCTGCCCAGCTTTAGTTTTCCTCACCAGCGGGGAAATTTTCACACCAGCCCGTGGAGCTCTATAACCGACCTCCAGGAAGTATCTAGTGCGGAACCTGGCACATGGTGGCTTAATATCTTCGAGGACATTCTGCCTCGCTTCCTGCCACAGCCCAAGTCAGTGTTTCCCTGAGGCCCCCAGCCAAGCCCTGTCTGCTGGAAACACAATGTGAGCCACACACACCAGGCTCAGCTTCCCAGGGGCCGCACTTTTAAAAAGGAAAGAAAAAGATCTTACTGTTAATAGTATTTTATATAACTGAAAATATTTAAAATAGTATTTCTTATTCTGCATTCAGTGTAAAGAAATCATTGAGGCTTTTATTCTTCGCTTCGCATTCGTCTGTCTTCCACGTTCCGGGTGCACCACACTTGCTGTGCGTCTCAACTGGGACTAGGTTCAATGAGCGCAGGCAGCTGGTGGCGGCTGCATCGGACAGCCTGGCACTGGACCCCGTGGCCACAGCAACATTGAGAACACAATTTACAGCAACATTGGCAACACCTGGAAGCTCGTGGCAAATGCAGGGTCTCGGGCCCCAAATGTGCATTTTAACAACATCCCGGGCAATTCTGATGCATTTGGAGCATGAGAAGCCCTGCTATAAAGCGAGGCCCGGCATTCTTCTAAGTTGTTCTTAACTTGCAAGATCACAAGTCCTCTAACATCTGCCCAACCCCATCTTGTAATTTTGAATCCCTTTTTGGACCTTCTCTAAATTCTGCATACCTCTGTCGAGCCTAACAGCTGACACGGAGATAGAATTGGCTGCTTACGAAGCACTTAGTGCACTTTCTCATTTTGATCTCACGCTAACTCTGCAGAGGAGCTCACATTATTACAGATAGGCCAGCTGAAGCTCAGTGAGGCTAAGAAAGCTGCCCAAGGTCACAGAGTCAATAGAGAGGGAGCTAAGCAACTCAAGCCCACGTCTGTCCAACTCCAGGTGCCCTTGCCCTCACCCCCCACAGAGATTTCTGGACATCAGAACTAATGCGGGTCTCTGGTGAGAGTCCACAAGGGGTCCTACGTGCTGCACTCGGCCCCATCACCTGCATCGAGAGCCAGGCACCCATAGCCTGTGCCCCCGCTAGGCCGGGTGGCTTATCAGAATATGCGCAATGAAAGGTCTTGAGTTCTCAGTGTGTATTTACTTTTCCCCTTTGATTCCCCTATATCCATTATCTATCTGTGATCACCATAGTTCATGGTATTTCTGACTGGTTTGAGACAAATGATCCCAGGCCATAAAATCTTTAACCTTTAAAAATAAACTACTGAGCAGGTGCTTTCCTACCCCCTTCCTGCCGGGTGAACAGTCCACCCTGTTGCTAACCTTCACCGTCACTGCCCAGGGGCCTGGGAGTCCCGACAACAGCTGAGACCCAGCCCCCTGGAGGACAATCCCTGGGCCCCACAGCCAGCGAGCACCCGCTGCACCCGCCTTACCTGGGCCCCGGGTTGATGGGGCCGCTGGTGTGGGGCACAGACAGGATGCTGGCGTGCGGCGCCGAGGAAATGGAAGTCCAGCTGTCAGCTCCGGAGAACACTTGCAGGTTATTGCCGGCGCTTTCTATCAAATTCACTTTGGAGAAATAACAACAGCTCAGTGGATGGAACATGCAGACCCTACAAACGTGGCGACCAGTGACATTATCCTGGGGCCAAACAGCCCTGGCTTGTCTACCGGTGCCCACGGCTGTTAGTACTTTCTGAGGGAAACAGCAAAGGGGGGGAACTCGGGCTTCAAAACGTCAGCCATACACCACAGACTATCTTATTTTAATCTCACAACAGCTCAGCTCCACGTTACAGGGGAGGCTCAGAGAGCTGGGGGGCACCGCCCTCTGAGACACGGCTCTGTCTACCTCAGTCACCACACTTAGGAAGGTCATCGCCCCTCAAGCTAAGCCTAAGGGCCACCAGTGCCCAGGCGAGCCGTCTGAGGTCCGGGACCTTATACTCAGCAGCCTCAGACGTACACCTCTCAAGAGCAGTGTCTTCCATGTCCTTGAATCTCCAGGCGCATAAATAGTGAGTGTGTGAGCGGAAGAAGGAAAAACGGAGAGAGGCAGAGGGGAGAGGAGAGGGAGAGGTTTCCGACGGTCACGCTGGCTGGTCTCCCTCCCAGGATTGGCACTCACAGCTTCCTTGGCCTGGTTCCCTCGCCTTCTACCTCCCCTCCCTCTACTCCGTTCCCCGGACGCAGGCTCTCTCACCCTCCTGGTCTTCGCTCCCACCACTCTGTCACCTGGAGGGCCCTTGCCTCTGCCTGTGTCCCGCCATCCACCCTCCACCTGTCCTTCTGCGTGCAGCCTTCAGATCTTCAGCATTAACCCCTGGGGGCAGATCTAGCTGCCCTTTTTCCTTGATCCCCATGGCACCTTGGCTTGTGTGTTTTACACAATGTTTCTCAACTCTCCTGTGCATGGGAATCACCTGGGGATCTTGTTACAAGGCAGCCTCTTTCAGAAGGAGAGCCTGAGAGCCCATCTTTCTAAGACGTTCCCGGGGGACGCTGCAAGGCCAGGGCCACATTAGAGCTGCCACTACATTGTATGAGGATCAGTGACGCACAGATTCGTGTGGCCCTGAGCTCCTCCAGGGAACACACTAAACCTCAGTGGCCTTCCATCGCCTAGACGAGGCCTGGTGACATGCTCAGAGGGCGTGTTTTGTGTGCTGACCATGGAGAGAACCGGGAAGCAGAGTGAGAACACTGCTCAGTGTCTGAGACATTAAGCTCCACGCCTCCCTTCCTGGTAGCAGCTGTCAAGGTTGCCAGGAGGCAGGCAAAGGAGCACAAGGGACAGGTACTGGTGACCAGGAAAGCCCTCTGTAGATACAGAGCTCAGGTGTGCCTGGCACTGAAGTCTTAACACCCTCCACCATCTCCCATGCCAGGGACTTTACTTCTTTGTTTTATTTCATGTCGATCTCCCCACCTGAGAATAGAATCTCCACGAGGGTCGAGTCCTTGCCTATTTTGTTCATGGGCAGAACCTGGACATCGTCAGCCCCCAGTAAATATTTGTTGCATGAATAACTGCATGAGAAATCCACCCTTGGTTCCATTGCTCCCTCCCTCATACAAATAACCAGGCAAGGGGCTGACACAGGTCAGGGCAGATGAGGCGGCTGTCAGTGAGGATAAAGCTCACAACAGCGTCAACATAAAAATAATCAGAGTGCACAAACTATCAAGGATGGCTCCTCGTGCCTTCGACTAATCAAACCCAAGCCTGGGTACAGAGCAACCCAGCTCCCCAGAGACCATCCTGATGAGCACTTCAGCTCAGGCCTGGTGCTCCTGGGGCTGAGCATGCGCACACCTGTAGAGAAGAGCCCGTGAAGGCGACGAGCTGAGGGTCTCAGACCCCAGCCCCTGGCCTGGCCTTCAGAGACGAGCCTGGAACTGCTCAGGACATTGGTGCCCTGAGCAATCACACACATTAGGAAGTAGGAGACTCAGTGTCTTGTGAAAAAATGACAAAATGCTAGAAATGTCATATCTAATAAACAGTATTTCAAAGAAAACTTTAAAATAATAACATACAACGACCTTACATGTTTGACGAAAGGGGTTCCATCTTCGGACACTTCTTTTTACTGCGTATCCACTTCTCTCCTCCACCCTCCCCACCCGCACCCAGGCCCCCACGGATTTAATGGGCAGGGCACCCACCTGCAGGAGAGTGGTTCCTGTGCACGCGTGCAGGAGGGTAGGGAGCCTGCCGGTGTCCCCGGAGGCTGGGGTAGCGCTCACAGCCGTGGTGGGTGTGGGGGGCAGACAGGGGCAAAGGAGCCGCGTACTGGTAACTGGCGTTTCCTGCTGTGCACACGCCGTCCGGGTTGGAAAAGATCCAGCCTCCCACTAGAACAGACGAGAGGAAGACACAGAGACTGACACCAAAGCCAGGCCCCCGGCCACTTTGCATAGCTGTTGCTGTGTGGACTGCACTGAATGTCTGCCGTGGGACATAGATGCCACCACCCTGCCACTCCCCTTCACCCCCACCTCCTGCCACCCTTCCACGTTCGCAGCTACGTCGGCTTCTCTGGAGATGGATGGCAGGTCCTCGCCAAGTTTGCAACGCTGGAGTCATAGCGATATTAAAGGCTATTGGAATGTATGAGTTAATAGAAATTCAAAGCTTAAGTTGCTTCTGACTTCACTGAATGAAATTAAGTCGGTCTAAGAAGGAGGTGTTAGCCGCACACGCAGCTCACAGACCTGCAGCCACCAGGACTGTTTATCCTGGTTGCACAGAGGGGTGGAGGCCTCTCTATTTCTGCTCAGCGGGGAGGCTCTCACTGCCCCCCTCATCCCCCCCAAGGAGGATCCTGAAAGCGGAGAGACAGGGGCCCGGCCAGCACACCTTGGCAGCAGGAATCTTGCAGAATATTTTGGAAGGCTGCAAAGTATTTCACAGAAATTTGTTTGTGAATAATCGCCTCAATTAATACAGAAATTGCATCTGACAAAATTTAATATACTTTCATGATTAAAAATACAAAAAACATTCAACAAACTAGGAATGAAAGGAAATGGCCTCAACATAATTCAGGCCACATATGACAAGTCCACAGCTAGCAACAAACTCAACAGTCAAAAACTGAAGAGATCAGGAAAAGGCAAGGACACCTGTTCCTGACATTCTATTCAGCACAGTACCGGAAGCCACTGGGCAAAATCAAAATGATAAAAAATAAGGAAAAAGAAAAGGCACCCAAATTGGAAAGGAAGAAATAAAATTATCTCTGTCCACAGATGACATGATCTTACATAGGAAAAACCCTGAAGATCTCACACACGCACACACAAATGTTAGAACTAATAAACAAATTCAGCAAAGTTGCAAGACACAAAATCAACACACAAAATCAGTTTCATTTCTATACACTAACAATGTCTCTATCTCTGTCTCTGTCTGTATCTCTGTCTCTATCGCCATCTCTACCTGTCTCTGTCTGTCTCTATCTCTGTCTCTGTCTCTGTCTTCACACTCTGTCCCGCTCTATCTCTGTATCTCTGTCTCTGTCTCTACCTATCCCTGTCTCTGTCTCTATCGCTGGGAACACTTGCAAGGCCATGGACTTGTCTTGAGCAGAAGAAATACCCACTGGGTCTTGATGGGAGATTTGGAACAGGCCTGGGGCAGTCACAACAGGTGGAGTCTGATGTGGTGGGAGTTGGCCCCTAGTGTCGCCCCAGGTTCCTCCCACCCAGAGTTCACCTGACTCACAGTGCGAATAAGCCACGTGCTGGCTCTCGGAGATCGCTTCTGGAACATCTTTTAGGTGGCTCCTGAAAGAGGGACGAAATGCACCATGGCTGTCCAGCTGACCACACAAGTCAGCACAAAGTCTGCCCTAACGTCTCTGGAGAGCATGCTGTTCTTGAAAATCAAGCACTCTTTTTTCTCAAAGCTACTATCTTTCCCCCACTCCCATTCCTCCAGGGCACTTTATCCACCTGGCCATTGCTCACCGAATTGCAATTCTAGGCTTACTCCAATTTGCCGTATTTATAACTCTGTCTACTTAGTTTGGTCTTACTGACAGGCAGGCCATGGGTCCTGCCTGACAAAATTCAAGCACTAACAACAGCTGAGATTTGCGGAAGACTTCAAGGCACAACCACAGCTGTGATAGGCCGGACCCTCCAACGATCCTGCGAGGGAAATAAGATTTAAAAAGTGGATCTCAAGCAGGTGAGCTGACGTAGGCCAGCTCAACAGCCAGGAAATGGTGAAGCTCAGACTCAAAGTCAGGACCCCTTACTCCAAGTCCTAAATTCTTCTGATTGTACCATTCTACTGCCTTTCAGAACCCAGGCTCTGTCAGCTCACACATCAGGTTTTCTTTAGGCCTTTACTTCTCCGAAAAAGTTCTAAGTATGTCTCCTACACCATCGAAATTAAGCCAGATATTGACAGGTCAGATCCCCTGTGGCATCATTATAAACAGCTGTCCATTAACCCAGAGCCTTTACAATGAAAAGGGAACATTAGATAGTTATAGGAGGTATCGAAAAAGACTTGACACTCAGGCTTTAAAACCTGACCACTTCCACCGGAAATCATATCAATGCTCCAGGGCTTGTCGATAGAGGTCATAACTATCATTAATTTTCATTTATAACTGAAAGAAATGAGCATAAATTGGTTATGCTCATTAATTAATAACTAGCATTAATTTTTCATTTTTTTCCTAGAATGGAAAAGAAAGATACAGGGATTGAAGTCACTGGCCCAACGTGGTAGAATTATCATTTACACTCGGAGTCTAACTTTCTCTCAGGCCTGAGAGATACAAACCTCTCACCTTTGAGCTACGCACATGAATGATTCACCTTCCCTAGGCTAAATGTCATTTTCTTTAAATCCAACTCACTGAAACCACAGTACTCGGAGAGACTTGGGGAGGGCAAAGTGAAACATATAAAATCTAAATCGCTTAATTTTTTTAAAATGTGGTTGTGCCAGTTTCAAGAGTCTGCAGCAAAACAGCTGACGAAACATTGCAAGTTAAAGGTTCTCCTGACCCTTATTATAAGGGACAGATAATTATGAGTTGGTTGAATTTTGTTGATTTTGTTAAGTATTCAGTTGAATATTAAAAAAACGTATTTCTATCAATGGTAATGCAAGTGCTACTTGTCTAGCTCCTTTCTGGACAATCATAAATTTCACATTTGCAGAAATCAAGGCATCAAGAAATCGGGTTTTACTGAAATGTCTCTACTCACCTTTCCTTGGCATCCAGGAAGGCTTTGGCAAAGGGGTTGTACTTGATTTTGAGAGCTGTTATCTTATGTTCATAAAGATGAGAAGTGTTAGTGAAAGCAGGACAGGCAGGAGCAGACACAACGCTTTGTCTTCACCCGAGAATTTCTGTAAAACCAGAACCGCCCCCGCCCCGTCTTTTTCTCCCTCCTCCACGTTTCTTTGCTTATTTCTGCACAAAACCGCTGTCGACCGCACTGTCTCTGGCAAAGAACGTTTTATTGTGGCCCATCATGAAAATGGCAAAGGCGGTGCACCTGAACCAAGAAAGCCAAGCCCTGGAAAGGAGCAGAGCACCTCGCGTGCCACCCCAGCCTCCTTTCTTTGGTTCAGTCGTTCTTTGTTCTTTTTGCAGTTATGGAGCACCTGCCGCACGTCAGTTAGGCTTCTAGTCCCTGGGGACACCGTGGAAAGCCAGGCAGTGAGATCCCGCCGCGCCAAGAGAGTGGTCCGGCCTCGCCCCCCTATTGTTAAACCAGGGCCTACGCACTCAGACTCACTCCCACCCGCTGCTGCCCTGGCGCCACGGCCTCAGCCCTCTCCATTTGCTCCAGGGCCACCTGACTTCCACGCATCGCGCCTCAGGCATAGGACACGTATGTTGGGTCTATATACTGGGGCTTCCACTCTCCCCACTGAGGACACAGCACACATGCAAAGTTTTATTCAGTGCAGTTTCCCCAACACGTAGAGCATCCAGCAGGTAGCAACACTCACCGAATACCTGCTGAGTAAGTGAATACTGAAATGAACGTTTGTGTCAGCAAAGGCCTGAGCCGTGCTGAGCTGCTCTCTTCCCGGCGGCTCGGGAGCGGCAGGCAGCCCAGGAGAGAGGGAGCAGGCTGCCCAGCCGCGTGCTCACGCCCCGCGTCCTTCCTGGCTTCATGTTCAGGGGGATCCGTGGTGACTTTTTAAAAGCCCACACAGTGAACAGTACAGAAGTATGCAGTGGGAATGAAAGGCAAAGGGTAAAGGTGTATCCTCCCCTCCTGCCCTTGACCTCACTCTCCAGGGGCCCTACAGATGCCAGCTTCGTGGGTGTCCTCCACACAGTCTGTACATACAGAAATCTATATGCCCATCTCTAGTTAAAATTTGTTTTAAGTTTAAGCAGAAAGAATCCAAGCTTCCACAGGTGCTTCTGATGACCAGCAGGCCTAAGATCCCCCCAAAGTACAGGATGGACCCAAACATCCTGCCCAGAGCCGTTTAGAGGCCAGTTTCTGGCAACTTGGCTCTAACCCAGGGAGTGGGCTCAAGCCCAGGCAATAAAAGACCCGAGTGTGCTCAGAAAAACCAACCAGCGGGACAGCTAGCGCAACACAACCTGAAGGAGGGGTAGACCTGGCTCAGTGACCACAGACTCGATGCTAGAGCAGCGGAGACAGCAGCTTTGTGCAGGCCGAGGGCACAGTCCTGGAAACAGCCCTGGCTCTGTCGGGTTTACCACCCAGCAAGACCCGCCCACTGGCAGCGGGACAGGGAGTGCCTGCGGGCCTTCTGCAAACGGGCAAGAGGGAGCGGCCAGTGGCCGTCCCACTGTTTAACTTTACCTCTGCCGAGTGTATGTGAATCCTGAAAAACCTACCTGTCACCCCAGCTGGGTCGTGGCAATAAAAGCACCCCCTCCTCGTCCCCCCACGCTCTTCCAGGTGACACGCAC